GCTCTTCCCACCCTTGACCCCAGCCATGTTGTGACCAGGGATGGTGGCTCCTACTACACCCTTCCCCACAGGGTTTTAACAGTTTTTATTAGTTTTTCTTCTCATACTCCACTCTCTGTATTTCACTTTACAGGGAGAGCTAGCAGGCAGCGTCCTTCCTGCACAGGACTGCTCCAACCCTTCCAGCATAGCACAGAGCCATCTCTTTCAGCCTAAAAATACTAAAGCACTTCAGTGGAAAAACACAAGAACCAGGCCAAACCATGAACACGTGCCCAAACCTCTGCTTCTCCAGGAGAGAGTAAGGCATAACCAAAGGAGCTGCTTGTCAGACTGTAACCCAGAACGTACAACCCTCTGTTATTATAAGCAACCCCATCCCGGAGCTGCCTGACTATCGCAGACCCATTATTTTGCACGCAGGCTTCTCCTTAGAGCCTGCCATTAGATCTGCACATTTTTTCCACAGTGGTTTACTTTCTCCAATGCTCAGCTCCTCCAGTTTCTCCGTGGCACCAGAACTTGTGAAGTCAGCAGAGGACGTAAGGCAGCTCTGGTAGCAGGGGCATCAGCCCCTGGATGGAAGAGCCAAGCTGTCGGCAATGGATTGGTGTTGGCCATCTCCTGAGTCAGCTAAGCAGCAGCATTGCACAGCCGTCTTAAAATCACCGCCTCGCCCTTGCACAATGCATGTTGGAGCATCACGTAAATTTTAGGCTGGAAAGGGCTCGGGAGGTCTGTGGTCCAACCTTGGCTCCATGCAGGGCTGGTGGCAAAGCTACAGCAAGTAGCTCAGAGCCTTGTCTAGTTGGGCTTGGAAAGTCCCCGAGGATGGAGATGTCACCCTGTTCCAGAGCCACACCACGGCCGCACCACTCCTGCGCAGAATGATTTTCTCCTTATGCCCAGCAAGAATTTCCCCTGGTGCAGCGTGTCCCCATTGCCTCTTGTCCTTCCAGGTGTGCCTCTGAGAAGAGTTGGGCTCTGGTTTCTCCGTGCCCCCCTGTAGGTAGCTCCCCTCCTTGCTTTGTCTTCCTAAAGCTGGTTCTCTCTGAGAGAGATAAATATATCTAGAGAGAGATATATATACAGAGAGAGAGAGAGATATCTTGTCTGGGGAGCCCCAAATTGGAGCTAGTACCCAGTTGTGTCTCACAGGTACCAAGTCAAGAGGAATAATCATTTCCTTAAACCTGCCAGCTTCACGTTCTCCATTGCAGCAAGGGTGCTGTTGACTCATGGGCAACCTTGCATGATTTTTCATTCTGCTCTATTTCTGGAGCACTTCTGACGCCCTCATGTGATGTTTTCACGATGGCCTATACAGGCACAAGCGGTGGGAAGCTAGTGAATGGGAGCCCAGCTTCTCACCTCCCACTTGGCCCCAGCAAGCACAAAGCGTGGCAGAGGCTTTGGCCACGCTCACGTTTTCACGGAGAACAGCGGGAAGGCAAATGCCGGAGAATTCAGGAGTTCAGTCTGATCGTACCTGGGTACACGCATTTTGGAGACACATCAGTCCGTTCTTTGCTCCTTCCTGCTCCTGTCTGTTTGTCCAGGCATTCGTCTCACCTGGATATGATCAGACTGAACACCTCTCCTGAATTCTCCTGTGTT